AGAGTGACAGAGAGATGAGCTCATCAGTCTACTGCTTCTCCTTTCACTGTCCAATCACAGGCTGGGGGAGGGAGAAGACCTGTAAGTGTTACTTAACAGGGTTAACCTTGATATACAGGGTTGTACTGTGTGGCAGGGTTGTGTAAATGTCAGTTGTGTTGCTAAAGAGTCAGAAGCACAGGGTAGTAGGAGCATTGATGACAGGTCCACTTTAATGTCTATGTCAGGCTAGGGTAGGTTAGAGATGCTCCATGTCACTACTTAAAGCAAACTTGGCATCAGATGTATTTTGTTATGTCAAGTCCATGCATGCGGAGTACTGTGCAAGGGTAACGCGTTCCGGTATTTATTACCTCTCATAGAGACCACAGTACTCGTCCTGACAATGCCTTCATCTGCCTTTTTTATTCCAGAAGGACGGAGCCACGTTTATTCCGCTTCAGCATCACCCTGAGACTTGCTACAAGCATACACTGTATACTCTGATCACTGGAGGGAGAGGAGACTGAGGAAATGCTTCCTCCTGCCTGCAGCAGACTGATCACTGGAGGGAGAGGATACTGGGGAAATGCTTCCTCCTGCCTGCAGCAGACTGATCACTGGGGGAGAGGAGACGTAGGAAATGCTTCCTCCTGCCTGCTTTCCGCCCAGCTCACCGGCGCCACCGGTTGCTAGGAACTGAGCGGAACGCTCTGGCTTGTGTCTCGCCGAGCTCCTGGCAACCAGTGATGTCAGTGAACGACAATCGTGTTCCCCCACCTCTGAATGGCAACCGTGCACCCCACCTTCCCCTAGTGACCATTCCCTGCCAGCACCCTCAGGGTGGCGAATACCTTTGAGACAGCCCTGAGTAATACTGTGTCATATGAAAAGCCACTTACCTGCCTTGTATGCCTGGACAGGGCCTGTAGCTGGAAACTAAGAAGGTTCTGCTACTGGATGCTAACTTGTCATTGTACACAACATAGTTCCACCCAACAGTGGTCCCTTCCTTCAGCCACGATTGATTAGATAGTTGCTCTGAGCTTTAGGGTAGTGATCTGTAACTTGCGGTGCAGGCGCTGCTGGAGAGGACAAAGACAAAAACACAAAGTGCACATATAAACTATCTTTACGAATGGCTGGCCACAGGCAGCTCAATAAAAGCAAGACAAGCAATTCTCCAGATGAAGAGCATCGCTTGTGATCACTGGGCTGTCTCTGAGGTGGTAGACGGTGATGATGAGCTTTGCCTCTGGCAAGCTGGAAAATCTCCCTGTGAGTGGCTCCTTCGTTTCTCAATCTGGTTGTCTAATCTGCTGAAGATCTATGAACAACTGTACTGCAAGGGTCTTCATGACTGCATAAAGATTGACTGGGTGGTTTAAAGCCAAATTTATGTGGATACCTTTCTCAAGCTATTGACTTTCCAATAAAGAGCACTGGTAATGTTACAGAAGGACAATTGAGACAACTGTGCTCGTCCAACCTTGTGGCAGCACTGTCCGGGACTGACTGCCCCACTGTGCACAAGGTCGGCTCCATAAAGACATGGTTTCATGTGCTTGGTGTAAAGCAACTCAAGTGGCCTGCACAGAACCCTGACCGCAACCTTACTGAACTGGAACAAGATTGTGAACCCGGGTCTTCTCGTTCAGCATGAGTACCCAACCCTACAATTGCTCTTATGGCTGAATGGGCACACATTCCCATTCCAAAATCTTGTGCAAAGCTTTCCCAGAAGAGAGCAGGCCGGTATAGCTGCAATGGGCTAAGGGGGTTAATCTGGCCCTAGTAATGACAAATGAATGTAGGTAGCAACCAAGGGGCCAGAACCCCAGGAAACCTAGGAATTAGGGCAGAGAGGGGCAAACTTCGGCCCTCCAGCTGTTGTAGAACCACAAATCCCATAAGGCGTTGCAATGACCCCAAGAGACAGATGCAACATGGGATTTGTAGGCTTCTCCACAGCTGGAGGGCTGGAGTTTGCCCAGCACTGCAGTAGGTGATTCAACCAGCATACAGTGGTCCATTAGCACCCAGGGCCCAAATGCCCCCCTCTATGAGCTGTGAACAGCAGCATCAGTTGCAGGTTCTGCCATTTTTTGCACCCCACACCTACTGAAGCGCCCAAAATGGCCACCTCAGCTTCTTGCCTGGCCCTGCTGGCATATACAGAGATCTGAAATACTGGCTTAGGATAGATGGGTTCTTACAATAATTGGGCACTCCAAGCTTTGGCTCCTGTCTGTTGGTAATCTCCCGGTGTGTCCGTGTCGTACAGATCAGTGTGTCGGCCTGCGTTCTGCAGATGGAGGGTCCGGCTCTTTTCATATTTTTGTGTGTCATTGCAGAGAGCAGCGTGTGTGGGTGTGTGTTTATCAGACAGCAGAGATGTCTGAGAGCCACGCAGTGAAATCAGGACAAACTACCTGCACCACATTCAAGGACAACAATTTCCCGTCGTAAATAGACCTTCTATATTTGCTGCTCTTCCACAGAGGATGAATTCTGCAAGGGAACAAAAAACGGGTGAAGCTTTTGTTTTGTCTTAAAGGGCAACTTTATACCATAAGCTTGGGAAGGGACAAAGCAGACTGCCATAGGTCTTTTCTGTTATAAAGATTGTTCCCCTTCCCTACTAGTTCAGCCCACACCTTTTCTGACCATGGCCTCTGGACCGAGGTTAAAGCGACTCTAAAAATATCAAATAAAAGCAGATTGTCTGCAAAAGAAGACAGTTTATAGTTACCTGCCGTACAGTCATTCCAGACACTGTTCCTGGCCCCCTGGGGATTGTGTGTCCCCCTGCCCATCCTTGTGTGTTCCAGTATCTCCAGTTACATTCTTTATCATATAAAATAAATGTAATAATTATCAGGGGTGGTGGGAGCCCCTCATAATGGGCACATCAGGTGTACAGACCCAGGAACTCAGCACAGGGGTGGTGGGAGCCCCTCCTAATGGGCTCAGCAGGTGTACAGACCCAGGAACTCAGCACAGGGGTGGTGGGAGCCCCTCCTAATGGGCTCAGCAGGTGTACAGACCCAGGAACTCAGCACAGGGGTGGTGGGAGCCCCTCCTAATGGGCTCAGCAGGTGTACAGACCCAGGAACTCAGCACAGGGGTGGTGGGAGCCCCTCCTAATGGGCTCAGCAGGTGTACAGACCCAGGAACTCAGCACAGGGGTGGTGGGAGCCCCTCCTAATGGGCTCAGCAGGTGTACAGACCCAGGAACTCAGCACAGGGGTGGTGGGAGCCCCTCCTAATGGGCTCAGCAGGTGTACAGACCCAGGAACTCAGCACAGGGGTGGTGGGAGCCCCTCCTAATGGGCTCAGCAGGTGTACAGACCCAGGAACTCAGCACAGGGGTGGTGGGAGCCCCTCCTAATGGGCTCAGCAGGTGTACAGACCCAGGAACTCAGCACAGGGATGGTGGGAGCCCCTCATAATGGGCACAGCAGGTGTAAAAACAATGTAATGTCGTGAAACAATGTCTTTATAGAGCTGGGTTTGTACACAGGGGACAGTCATGCTGGAATGGAAAAGGGCCTTCACCAAACTGTTGCCACAAGGTTGTACGTACACAATAGATTCAATGTCTTTGTATACTGTTGCATTCACAGCACCCTTCACTGGAAACAGTGGGATTCAGACATATGGAGGGTGTCCACATATCTTTGGCCATATAGTAGGTGTAATGGTCCTAAAGTATATATTATTCTAGGCTCAGGCCAACTGCTCTCGATTATCAATGAAAACCTGAGCAAGAGGAAAAGACTTTGTCTGTAGTAAATGATATGAAAACGTAATATCTGTATAACCAAAACCTTTTACATTTCAACTACTAGGAAGTTTAAAAGGGAACCGAATAATTGTGGAGGTGGAAAACTCTTTCGACTGTGATCATTGAGGCCTGAGAATGCTAAACTGCGTTCGGACAGTCTTATGTAAGTTATCTGGATGTGGAAAGGCAGACTTGACTCCTCTAGCCGCTAACAAGGGAGGGAAAAGCAGTAGATTGTTATCAGTCTGGAGAGATGGAGCTGGATGACAGACATATCCGAGTGTGAGTGTTAGATGACGGACGCCTTCCTGCATTGCTGTACTTAAATATTGCCGTCTTATCTCCATATTAGGGACAATAAGGAGATTGCTAAAAGACAATGACGCTGGATGCATGTGGGAAATCCTTCACAGCCCCAAAGGCCATAACAATGGATAAATGATCAATTTGTCTTTGCATAACAAACAGGCTGTCCATATATTTACATCCAGTTTTTTTTTATAATCTTTTTTTTTAAATGAATTTGCCCTTTAAATTTTACTACCAGTCGAACCAATGACTACGGTCTGGTGACATCACTGAGAATGCAGCCTCTCCATTCACTAGAGACCGGTGATATCACTGAGAATGCAGCCTATCCATTCACTAGAGACCGGTGACATCACTGAGAATGCAGCCTATCCAGTCACTAGAGACCGGTGACATCACTGAGAATGCAGCCTATCCAATCACTAGAGACCGGTGATATCACTGAGAATGCAGCCTATCCATTCACTAGAGACCGGTGACATCACTGAGAATGCAGCCTATCCATTCACTAGAGACCGGTGACAACACCGAGACTGGAGCCTGTTCACTAGATACACCTGGAACAGGAGCATTTTTATGGCATGTTTATTAGAATACAACATTTATGAAACACAGTCCCCTGTAGGAGCAGTAAGTGGGAGCAATGGGAATTAGCTGTCATTAGAAGCTCATCCAGTAGGTGGCACTGAAGTCCAAAGTTACAAGTTCCATAGAGGTAATGGGTAAAACTGTATAGATTCACCTTATTGATATAAATGCAGCTGTCTGATGTGTCACAGTGACTCAGGAATGACAATCCTTTTTGACAGCAAGATCTGCAGTTCTCTGCATAAAGAGGCTTTAATAAGAAGCGGAGGCAGAAGGACACAGTATTGGAAATAGAAGGCTTCGTAATATTGCATGGTTTCTCTGCTCTTAGCTATGGTCATGGGATACGATTAGTGAGGAGTCCTCGTTCATCCTTTAGGAGATTCTCTATATGTTCCCTCTGTAAAACAACACAAAAGAACAGTCAGCAGTAGACCTTCCACTTCATTAAATATCTTTCTTTCATAAAATCTCATAAGTATAGTACAGAAAAGTTATGGGGGCATTCCCTAAATCCCAAGAAGCTAGTGTACCTACCGTAGTCACTTACAAACACACGCACACACACATGCAGACATGCACACACATACATACATGCACAAACTAGGACGGTTTTAGCTAAATGGTGATTACACCAGCAGTAACCTTCTGGATTGTGGAAGAAAGCAGAAGCACTTGGAGATATGGAAAGCATACACAACATGGACAAGAATATGTGGACACCCCTCTAAATGGGAACTGAGTTCTTTCCAGTGAAGGGTACTGTTGATGCTACAGCATACAAAGACATTGTAGACAATTGTGCTCCTCCAACCTTGTGGGAACAGTTTAATGAAGGCCCTTTTCTGTTACCCCGTGCCCACCCCGTGTGCACAAAGCCAGCTCCACAAAGACATGGCTTGACCAGTTTGGTGTGAAGGAACTTGAGTGGTCTTCAACGACTACCATACTAAACACCTTTGGGATGAACTGGAACACCGATATCACAAATGCCCTTCTGGCTGAATGGGCACAAATAACAAGGTACATAAGGTTTAAAAGAAGAGTGGAGGCTATTATAGCTTTGGATGTCCAACAAACTCATATAGGTGTGATGGTCAGGTGTCCACATACTTTTGTCCATATACTATACAAACTCCATGCAGATACCCAAGGCCCTGGTGCCCTGCAAAGCTGTACTGTTGACTTCTTTGCAATCGTGCAGCTTGCATGTCGCACACTTAATACACCGTGTCAAACAATGTCTTATTTCACAGACTAGCACACTGGTATCACATACATACAGTGAAGATCCCAGCTCTGGACTTAACTTGTTGGCTAAAAAATATAAGCAGACTGGTGATCTGGGGACCAGCGATATGAAGTTTCACACACAGCACTATCTTCAGCATCTAGCAACAACGTCCGGTGAGTAGAGAGATCTTTATACACAGATGATCTGCTCCCTATTAATATATGAACTGTGTATCCTCTCCTGATCAGATTATCCCCTTCTACCGAATATGCAGACTGTCCAGACTCCCAATACACAGATTACACCCTTTTTTCTAAAACCCCCCCACTGTACATCAGTGGCGTAACCAGAGTTATGGGCGCCCGGGGCAGAACATTTTTTTTCGCCCCTCCCCCCCCCATATTATATAAACATCCACTAGAACTGTACCCCCCACACATATATATCAGCTAAGGAACTACAAGTCCAAGCATGCCATCATTGTCCCTGTACCCCCCCCCACACACATATCACCCAGGGAACGGCAATATCTGGTTGTTGTACAGGGGCAATGAGGGCATGCTGGGACTTGTAGTTCCCTAGCTGATATCTTATGAAGCTGTATTCCACCTGAAAGTACTACAATGCCATTATAGAACTAAGAATAGAACATAATATATTACCCCCTTTTCCCCCTAATATACATACTATATAGCCTCTCCTAATACATAGATTTCCCTTTTCTTTCTAAAATGCAGACTGCGTGTCCAGTTCTAAAGCTCCTTTCACACGGACGGTCCGATTGGGTCAGCCTGTCAGTTTTTCAGGCGGACCCGATCAGATGCCCAATGCTAGGTCTATGGGCGTCTGTTTACACCTGGTTACCCTAGACTCCGGCCTAGAGGTAACAAACAGAACAGAGTTCCGTTTCTCCAACCTGATCGCGCCCGACCAGGAGATACTCTAAGGTAGATGGACACATGTCCATTTATATCCGAATTCCCATAGACCGCCATGGGGTCTGGCAGTTTTAGTTCTTTCTCCCATCACAAGATGGAGGAAAAAAACTGGACGTGTGGCATCCAATCCGTACTGCTCTGATCGGGAAGGGGATCCGTGCATGGATCTCTCCTGATTAGTATGTTTGAAAGGGGCCTAATACATAGATTACCCCATTTGTATAAAACACACTGGACATCCTCTTCTAATACACAGATGACCCTCTTTGGTTCTAAAATACACACTCCTGTCCTACAATACAGATTGCCTGTCCATGCCTTAATACAGAGTAAGCTATTATTTCCTAAAATACACCCTTTCTAACACCCAGATTACCCCAACGAACTAGTGTAGAGGAGATACAGTAGCCGTGTCTCCCACAGCAATCAAATGCTCAGTTTCACATTCTAAAATGAATGAGAACAATGACAGCTGGACTCTGGTTCATTCTTACATCAGACAAGTTACTACTCCATGCTCACCTGAAAGCGTTGTAATGTGTCACACGTGTCTACTGCACGTGCCCTAGGTGGCAGGAATACTTCCAGTCTGATGGCATCCAGGGCAGTAGGTTGGAGGGAGATGAGATTGTTCAGTTCCTGAGCCTGGAAGATAATTAGCATCATTGTTAGCAATAAATATCTGATAGAGGTTCAATCCCTCCTCCACTGAAAAAGGTGTTGTTATTGACGTTGTGTCTGTCGGAGAGGTTTCTCTTTACTTCCTGTACAGTGATGAGGACAGAAGGAAAAGGAAAATCTGCCAAATAGGAACACAGACACTAATAAAAACCTAACAGAAGATCTAATCATTACCAACTCCATCCAAAACGGAAACATGTCGTGAGAACAAAAACACAGGGTGCCATTCTGACTTCCTTCAAAGAATACCGGTAGCCTGGGTGTCTATTAGTTACTACACTTCCAGAAGCACTGACCTGGACCCGGCATGCAGACTACCAAGTCAGAGTGAAGTTGAAACTCCTGAGTGTTTAGCTGGGTACACATGGCTAAACAGTGTGGTTGAACGAATCCTCAGCTCCATGTATTCTGACCGGCCACTGTGAGAATACCCAAACAGTGCTTGCAGCACCACTTGGCTGGACTTCCTTCAGGAAAAGTCAATCTAATGATCAACTTTTGTCAAGGCGACAGGACAACCCTTGGATCGCATTTTGCCCGTTTCCTCATTCACTCAATGTGAACCCAGCTTTATACTAGTACCAGGTTACTGACTCGGAAAGTTCAAAAGCCAATGGTAGATGTCAGCAATGGTTCCCTCTAAATTTCAGGACCTACAAGGATGCCGGTGGGTACTTTTTATAAGCCAAAGGACTTGTGCTTTTTACTCACGACTGAAAAAAAAAAGTCACATACTATCTTTAAATGTATAGGTGCAGTATTAAAAATGGCTCCTGATATTATTCTGATCAACATAACAAATCTGTCACTGTTATGCGCACTAAGCTGAGAGTAATACCCAAAATATACGCAATGTATCTGCATGTGAAGTTCCTTTTGCATCAGGGAAAGCAAAACAATCAGAAATCAGCCATAAATGAAAAGGTATCTAAAGTCCATAACGGCTTCAGCTAGTCCAGCCTTTCAGCTCTTAGCAATACAGAGAACAGCTCTCTTACAGGTATCCTTTCATGTGCACGCAACGGCGGTGGTCAGAGGCATGAGACAGCGTGGGTGGAAGGTGGCAAACAGTGGGAGAGAGGTGTGCGCGCTCCAGCCCTGAGTGCTAATTGGCACGCATTCCAGCGCTGGGTTCAGAATTTCTTGCTGTGCAAGGATCTTAACTGTGAGTGGATTACATTGATTAGTGAAATATTAAAGAAGATTGCTATACCGTGCCAATGCACTCTTCCTTGTTCCCTTATGGCTGGTATTATTCTAGCCTATTCCTTTCATGCATACACACTGTTTAGCCCATTCATTCCTACCGTGCATGCCCACTGTTCAGCCCATTCATTCCAACTGTGTATGTGCACTGTTCAGCCCATTCATTCCTACCGTGCATGCCCACTGTTCAGCCCATTCATTCCAACTGTGTATGTGCACTGTTCAGCCCATTCATTCCTACCGTGCATGCCCACTGTTCAGCCAATTCATTCCAACTGTGTATGTGCACTGTTCAGCCCATTCATTCCTACCGTGCATGCCCACTGTTCAGCCAATTCATTCCAACTGTGTATGTGCACTGTTCAGCCCATTCATTCCTACCGTGCATGCCCACTGTTCAGCCAATTCATTCCAACTGTGTATGTGCACTGTTCAGCCTATTCATTCCTACTGTACATGTGCATAGTTCAGCCCATTCAATCCTACTGTACATGTGCACTGTTCAGCCCATTCATTCCTACTGTGCATATGCACTGCTCAGCCCATTCATTCCTACCGTGCACGCCCACTGTTCAGCCCATTCATTCCTACCATGCATGTGCACTGTTCAGCCCATTCATTCCTACCGTGCACGTGCACTGTTCAGCCCATTCATTCCTACAGTTTGGCTCGTCAATACTAATAATTGTCAGCCCCCAGCCATTCAGAGGAGTACTGCTACAGCCACAGGAATGAATGGAGTGAACGAGTGAACATAAATGTGCATTACCAACCAAAGGAAATGAGAGAGATAAAGGAAGAAAGAGAGAGAAAAACAGAGAATAAGATAGAGTGTCCAAAAAGAGGAAATTATCATTTCTTAGCATTTTTGTTTTGCGAGAGAGAAAGAGAGAGAGAGAGAAGGAGAAAGAATGAAAGAGAGAGAGAGAGAAAGAAAATGGAGGACGGTATAATTAATCAGTTTTTGTTTAACTGATCTCTGTGGGATGTGCACACTTCTATATTTGCCATTCTGGAGTGCACACCATAGACAACGCCTGGTGCCAGTATGAGACCTCCTTCGGCAAGTGAGAGGATGTCAAGAGCGTCCGCGGGCAAGCAGCACGGAGGGAACCCGCTGGCAGGAAGCAGCCTAAAAAGTCCGGAGGCAAGGTAACAAAAGGGCAATCCAAAGGGGTAGTCGAGCGCAATCCAAGGTCGAGGCAGGCAGGAAGGGTCAGAGGCGATAGTCGGTCCAGGGTCAATACACGGGAAGTCAGCAGAGGATTCAGGTAACAGGCAGCAAGGCACATAGGAGGAGAGCTTCGTATGTCACACCAAGAGGTGGAATAACTCAGCACTGAGCCAGGGCTCTGGCCAGGTTCTTATAGCCAGGGGGTGTGAGTCCGCCCCCTTCCTGAGGGCCAATGGCAGGCGAAAGGCGTGTGTGTGTGGGCTGGGGAACCTCCCCCAGCAAGGCCACAACTGAAGCTCAAACAGGTGCACGCGTGTTGCGAGCACGGCCCCGGGATGTGCGCGCAGCCTGTGTACTGCGCACGCGCACCCGGCGCGTAGCTCGCACACGCGTAGTGGCCGCCGGAGCGCCCGTGGGTCTGCCAGGCTGAAGGGAGGTCTGTACCCTATGCCGTACCCTCTGACCTCGTGGGGGGGCGACGCCCCTGGCATCCTGACAGAGGAGCCTCAAACATGTAACAGTATTCCCACTTGAACCCCTTTCTTTTGTATATAAAAGATTAGCTCTTTCACTTTGTATCATGGAAGCGGTAGTACCACACACAATAGCTCCTGTCATTTAAAAGCAGCGTTTCCAGACATGTTTGGCTCTTCAAGAAGCTTGCACATGGCTCGGAACGCTGCTTTGAAATGACAGGAGCTATTATGTTTCATACTACGGCTTCCATTAAACAAAAGTGGTAGAGTTAATGTTTTCTAAACAATGGATCTTGGGCGCGGATGAAGATACTTTTACACACTTCTAGAAAGAAAAAAGAACAACCTTTTCTAACTTGCTGGTTTGTTTGTTTTTCACATTGTGTATAAGCCAGGCATGGGAACATCTAGCCACTGAAAAGGGTTCCGAGTGTCATGAATGCAGCCTCCATCAGTTACATATAAATCAATCTATATTTCATGATAGATGCTTGTTCCTGAAAAACTGCCTTTTCAATTATTTAGGAGTTGTCAGCACCTCCGCACCCTGAGAGATGGCAAGAGCAATTATTCTTAACTGCCTGTACACATTCACCATACTTGTTCAGTCAGAGGTCTGCGCTGCTTCTGAAAGTGAAAAAAAAAATACTTAAAGGAACACTCTCAATCAAAGCTGGAAAGGTATACCGATGAAGGGGATGGTACAGAGATATGTGGCACGTAGCTGCAGGAGCACATAGACAAGTTTGCTGAGGTGTGTTGGATTGCTGGGCATTGTGGTTCTTCTCATTGACCCCTATGTTACTACAGACCTGCCCACCAGAAAGCCAAGTATAAACCTTCATAGATGGGGTTCTGTTGTTTTAATACACTTCTGTGGTGAAAGAGTCGCTATAAAGTAGATGTAAACCCGCTCATCAAACTTTAACATGTTAATGTCCTTTCAAAAGTCATTGTCAATCTTTTTAAATCTGCAGCTTTTATAAAAAGAACCCCTGGTTATTCCCGCTATGAAGGTCCTTGTTCAGGCACTTCCTGGTATGGGGTGACAACGCTCTGTCCCTGTCTCCCAATTCTGCTCCTGCTTTGTCACCCCATCACATGGGCTTGCGATAGAGACAAGCGGCTGTTTAAAAGCGGCCAAACCTTTATTTTTGGCTTTAGTTCTCTTTTGGGTCACAGAACATTAACTAAAGTACTCCTGGGACCAAAGCCGGTATATAGCGGGCTACTGCCCACTATATTCTGACAGTGCAAAGCCGCGCTGCAGTCAGGAAAGATCCCAACAATATTGTTGGGCTCTACGCTGCTGCTGGATTGACAGCCTCTCTAGAGCCAGATCCAGCTGTGCCCGCCCCCTCCCCTGTCTGTCCCTCCAATGAATGCTGGAAGAACAGAAAGAGGGGAGAGAAAAGCCCTGCAGGGAATGTTTGCTGACAGTCACCGCTCTCTGCAGGGAGAAGCCAGGAGCTAAGCAATTAGCAGTTTGTGATTGCTCAGCTCTTGAGCTATAGAGACGAAGTGTGATAGCTGCAGTGTCATACGCTGGCTCAATCTATTAGGTAGAGTACATTTCCCTCTCCCAATACTTCTCCTTTAAACAAACATTACCCAGACACGGTCTACTGTTGTTGGCATCAAGAAACCCACCCTGAAAAATGCCATGCAGCTGTCGCTGGAGTGCATGTAGGCAGGAAGTGGCTGCATAGAGGCTGCAGGAGATGTTACAGATGATAGAAAACTGGGGAGTATTAAAAAAACAAAACTTTTTATTTTCATAATAGAGCTTTACCAAACTAAATTATTTTTATTTGGGATATACCTCTATTTTGAGTATTCTGAGACATTGGCATGTGAAAAGCAGCAAGTGAACTCCGAACGCCTGGTTTGCATAATTGTTTCAGTTAATGACCTAAATAGTATTGATGGATTGATGGCAGGTCTGAACCCGGAAATAAAAAAAAGTTCTTCTCCCACAATGCAACAACTGTCTTCCCATTTCTAAGGCTGTGTGAGATGTGCACAGCCTGTGGCAATGAAGATGACAGGAAGAGACGTCATTTATGAGGCTGATATGCACTGGGTATGCATTTGACCTACTCTCAGAT